TTCTTTCCACAGTTCTTTACTATAATCATTTTCCTATCTCTTCTACCAGATATTACTCAGACATGATATTCTTCCGATTAAAATCGGAATTCCGATTTTTTTGGGAATCGCCCCCCCTTCTTCTCCTCCTTTCCCTCCCCTCGGAGGCCCCAAGTCAGGAGTTGCTACCGCTGGCGCGGCTCTGCGTGGCTCCAGTCCCGCGTTGCTTCAGGAAGGGAAAGGCAAAAAGGAAGAGCCGCGGCGGTGCTTTGCAACGGCAGCAGCGGCTCCTGGTTTTGCCTTTCCCTTCCCGAGGCAACGCGGGACTGGAGCCGCGCGGAGCCGCGCCGGCGGTAGCAACTCCTGACAGCCCCAGCCGGATACCTGAGCGGAGCCCGGGCGGGCGGTGCGAGCGGAGGCCGCTGAGCGGCAGGAAAAGGGAGCTGGGCAGCGATTTCTTGGCGCGCGGTGGGGGGGTCTCTTTTGGCCGGCCCCGATTTTTTTTTCAGAGGGGAATATCATGCCTGTATTACTGGAAACATTTATTACTTATTCTTTTTAGGGTAGGTTATAGTTCCCATATGGCTATGCAAAGTTGAATGTTTTGTCAGATTCCAGCTCTTCAGCAACACTGTAAATTGAATGGTGAAATGTGGATGGCAGCCAAGAGATTAAAAAAAAACACCTTTAACTCTTTGCTGTTCCCCATATACCCCTATGTATAATTACAGAGAAGTATTTATTTATTAGCATTAACTTTGACCTTTTCTCTCCCACCTCTCACTGCTTTTTTCTAGGGAGGAACTAAAGGTGCTGAACCAGAAGTATCTTTAACAGCATTCATTCTGGTTGCATTATTGGAATCCAGATCAGTCTGCAATGAACATATCAATGTATGTGATGTTCTGATGGGAAATGGTATGAGGGGGGCCAAAATATGAGCACATCTCTAGGGTGTTTTTTTATCATAATATTCAATTTACCAATCTTCTTGCCCCAAAGTTTGGAATTAAAAGCCTTCAGGATCACAATGAGAATACAAAGGAGATCAATGAAACCAAAATAAATAAATCAGTTCAATAAGGATACATTTAAAAAATTATACATATACTGTCAAGCCTGCAAGGTATTTAGATCAGTTAATTATCTGTAAATATCAAAGAGCCTTTTCACTGCTGCAGCGTAATTTTTATCACCAGCATTCCCCAAAGGCACATTTAGAAAGATCTATTTAGAAAGGGTTTCTCCAGGTGCATCACATAGCATTGCAGGTTTTACACACATTCTCTAGTGGAATCTCCATTTAAGACATTCCTAATGAATTTATCCCCAACATCTCTTCCTGTGTAAAAAGCTTAAAATAACACATATTATGACTAAACTTGCATTATTAGCGTGTAAAACATACAAGCAGGAAGAGGGCAGCACATATTCAGTTTATTATTTACTGAACACCACAAATAGGTGACTCTGGGCAGCTTACAACATAACCCTTATCCTCCCCCCACCCCATGGCAGCAGCAACAACACAATCAAATCAACCATTTGATGGGTTCCATCTCCATTTGTGGTCCCCAGATGTACTGACAAAATCATGTTTTAGGGCCTTTCAACAAAGCAACTGAGTGGGGCCCAATCATACTTCAGGGAAATGATGTTCCATAGAGATGCCTAAAATTGTTCTCCAACATTCCTATTGGATCTCTTCTCTTTCCTCTGCCTTTACTTCTAGATTCTAGACAGCAGCATCAATAAGGCCACAGATTATTTACTCAAAAAGTATGAGAAACTGCAAAGACCTTACACTACGGCCCTCACAGCCTATGCTTTGGCTGCTGCAGAACGACTCAATGATGACAGGGTACTCATGGCAGCATCAACAGGTACACATATTGCTTTGTTTTAAATAGAAGAAACCAGGTGTGGTTGAGTTTTGAAAGATTAGCTTGGAAAACAAAACACAATGGATAGATTTTTAGAAATTTAATGACAAAAAATAAAATCAAGAGCCACATGCAAGTGGCACCTGTTTTCTTCTAGCTGCCTAGTCAACTAGAAAAAAAATCAGTAAAAATAGATGTAAAGCTCTTTTTTCCATAGGCTCCCAGTTGTATATCCCAGCAGAAGGCTGAAGAAAGTTGTGGCAAACCATTTCTTTACTTTTACTAGAAAATCTATAGGATTCTTTCTATGTATTTCTACTCACAGGCTAGTTCAGCTTCAGAAAATGTGTATTGTTTTAATTTCCAAATTACAGCTAATGCCCAAGTTATGAGCATTCATTTAGTGCCTGTTTGAAGTTATATGAGTGCCCCCTAATGTTTACGAGCAGGTACCAAAATTACGAATATTGCAGCACCACAGCAGTTGTTCACCCTTACGAATGACTGCAGAAGTCTGCAACACTCACCCTATTCCCCCTGCCCCCGGTCCCCACAACTGCTTCCGCCTCCCATCCTGCCACACTGGACTCACCTTATAAGAATTATCTCCTCTCTGCCACGGTTGCTTTGTTTTTGAGGGAGAGGAAAATTGATGGAAGCTCCTGGGTGCCATAATATTGAGCGAGTTCAGGTACTCATCCTCCTTTGCAGAGACTGAGTGCCTGAACACTCACAAGATCATGGACCCAAGACACTTTCATTCTCTGCGAAAAAAGTGTTTGCAGTGGCTGTCTCCTGCTCCTCCCCACCCACCCCCAACTCCTTTCCACCACCACTGGAATAGTTTTTGCCAAGACGGAGACCTGACAGACATGGGAAGGTTCATCTACAAGCAAATGGGGCCTTTGAAAATGGAAGGATTTGCTCCGTTGTGAAACACCCCATAGGCGTCTTTGGACCGTATCAACATGGAGC